CCAGTCTTTGCCTGCTGGCCGCTTGTCAGTGGGGACCGGGCAGCTCCAGGGTCCCTCTTTATCTCTGTTAGTGGCCAACCAAAGCTTTGTCTTGTGGTTCTTAGAAGGAAAAAACAGTTTGTGCCAGAAAGCAACAACATTTCTTAAAAGACTTAGAGCTGCCAATGGAAGGACCCAGATGGAGCTCAGCAGTGATTGATGCACCGGGTAAGCTAGCTGAGCCTCCCTCCCCTCCCCCTTCCTCCCTTCCTCTCTCCTCTTCTTCCTCCCCCATCTCCTCCCCTTTCTTATGGGGTTAGAATTCTTTTACATTTTGACTATTATATCATGATCCCAATGTTTTATGCAATAGGGCTCCAGTTAGTGAGCTGATGATATGTGCTATTTTAATCAGGAATTCTATTTTAATACAGAACTTTTAACTAGATCATGTACTAAAATAAATGTACTGAGCCCTGTCCAGCTGGGTCTAGGGAAAGACTCTTACTTGGGTTAGAGAAGGAGAAAAACGACTGAGATCCTAAGAGAAACTGTAAAGAATGGATTCCTCAGCCATTCAAACTGGCGAACTAGTCCACCCACAGGGTGGAAAATGTGCGGTAATGGGGGCTAAAACAAGCACTATTTATGTTTTCTTTACCCACACAACCATCTAAAAGCAGGCCTGTGGAGAATTTTTGGCCTCAAGGAAAACCTTTATCAAAAGCGTCACTTGCTTCATGGACCACCTCAGAGACGCATTTGTGTACAGAAGGCCTAATGGCCTGGATGAAGCCCAGCAAGGCAGGTAAATAAAAACAAGCAAGTATCTTAACTACTTTTCCTGTGCAAATAGGGAAGAGAATGCTAAGAAAAAAACAGTCTCAAGTCAGAGTGACTCAGAGCTGGGGAGGCCAGGAATCCCATCCCTCACCCAGTGCGGAGCTCCTGCCTTTCCTCTCCGGCCTCGACGTGAGACACAGAAGACAGTTTTATTCGGAAAGAGAATGTAAGTTCTTGCGTGGCTGGGGACTATCTCGGGTGAAGTGTGCTCACTGACAAGTTATTTTGGCAGAGCCTGGCCCTCCCTGCACGAGAGCTCATAATCCGGAGAGGAAAGGCTAAGACTACAAGCTGGTCACGGACACTGTCTACTCATGCCCTGGTGACCCTGCGAATGGCTCTCGGGCCTCTACTTCCCCGTGTGGGATGATTTTGTTCTGACAGACCTTTGACTTATGGGAGCAGGTAGAAGAATCCACAATATGTGATGACCAGGTTCTTTGGGATTCTCAAAAAAAAAAAAAAAAAAAAAAAAAAAAAAAAAAAAAAAAGACAGCATGAACAAACTAAACTACCTAGAGAGAAAGGGATGGCCCCGGGTGACAGATTAGAGCCAGAAATTCTAAATAACTGTACAACGAGAAATAGCCTGGATTTCTGCCCCTCCGCTTTTCCAAACAGAAGCATGGCTAATGTTTTAGCCCAGGGAGGCACCCAAAGCACCAGATTAAAGGAAAGACCAAGGAGGCAAGAGCACCTGGCAGTGTGGCATGATGCGCTCAATGATGGAATGGGTCTTTTCTGATTGGTCAGTCTGTCTGCCATGTCAGTAAATGCTGAAGTGCGGTGGTTTATGGGTAAAGTATTTGTGAGTGCTTCCTCAGTCTGAGAGAGGAACCCCAGGGCGGTATTTGTACAGTTACCTCAATATCATGCTCCAATCCAGGGTTTTCCTAATACCTAAAGGTTAATCATTTACATTGGCACAATCAAGGGTTTGAAAATTTTGACTTTAACTTTCTTATGTATACAATATGCCTGTTCTTATTAGAACCCACATTCAGCCACAGGACACTGAAGAGAAGTGAGTTATTTGGGAAATCCTGGCCTGAAATCATCCCAGATCTTGGAGAGAAGTTCTTCTGCTTCAAACACTTCCATGAATGAAGTAAATTTGCTTGAGGTTGCACACAACTTACCTCCCACTGAAGCTATCATTATGTCTTGTCATGAAAGGCCCATGGGAGCTCTAAAAGGCAAGACACACAGTGCCAAGAGCAGAGCTCTGATGGTGTACCTGTGGTTCCTGGTCGTGACCGCTGGGATCCCTCTCGTAGCTCTCTGCATACAGTCTGATGGTAGCCCGCACACCACTGGAGGAACTGAGCCGGAAGATGAGCCGTGACGCATCCGAGAAAATGATCCTCAGGCCCTGAGACCAAGAACATCCCAAACAGCTCACTGAACAAGTGAATACACAGGCCACGATAACCAATACATACCACAGAAATCAGAAGAGCTCTATACACCAAAGCCCATCAGGGCCATGCCAATTTATAGTTGGTCCTGTGTCCTCACTCAAGCACAACACTGTGGTGAACCCAAAGGCTACTTGAGGTTATTCATTTGTTTCTCGATTCTATTTCTGGTGCTGATGTGGGCAGATGTTGAAGAGACAAACTACGATCACATGTTCAGATTGTCTTGGTCTAGTGATATGAGAATTGGAAAAACAGTAGAGACAGGTGGAATAGAATACCATTTAATAAATGTTCTCAAATCCATGGTGGAACCCTTATAAATCTGAACTTAATAGGCATGAAGCAAATTATCTACTGTAATAAGAAACACTTGCCGGGCGGTGGTGGCACATACCTTTAATGCCAGCACTCGGGAAGCAGAGGCAGGCAGATCTCTGTGAGTTCAAGGCCAGCCTGGGCTACAAAGTGTGTTCTAAAAAAGGCTCCAAAGCTACATAGAGGAACCCTGTCTCAAAAAACCAAAAAGAAAAGAAAAGAAAGAAAGACTCTGTTTCCTCCTTCCCCACCCCACTCCTATTTCTTAGACTGAGTCTTGTCATATCAGCCAAGCTGGTCCTGAACTCAAGACCCTGTCCCCACCTTACAAGAGCAGTATTACATGTGTGCACATGCCGAGTAGCTGCTCCTCATTTTAAGGTTCAAATTTCCCCATACACTGTTAGGCTTAGCTTCACCCCTTTCCCATTATCATTGTGGTAGAACCCCACAGTGAAGTGCTCAGGGCTGCCTCTTCATCCAGGCTGGGAGTGTTGCTGAGAACAACTCATCGTCTTAGGTGACCATTTCTTTCTTACCTAGAAATGCTGGGCACCAGCTTGGGGTCAGGACAGAGCTGTGGCCAGGTGAATGAAAGGCTACCCAATATTAAATTTGTTTTTAGCTTAGAAAACCTCTATTCTATGTACTTTTTTCTCATTAGTGACAGGGATAGTCAATATATGCCCATACTTTTATGACCATGAGATCATATTCAAACCACCAATGGAAATATGTTCTAAGGCAGCTAACAAAATCTGATCAGTACAGCATTAGTGAGTAAAAAGGACGTAACAGAGTGTCTGCCAGTCACTACTTCCTAAAAAGTAGATGTCTTAGGTGACTTCGATGTCAGACATTTTCCCTAAGTAATTTATCATGGCAATGGCCCCCACGTCCAGTCCTGCTGGCTATGAACTGGCATTACCAAACTCACACCTTACCTGCTATGTACATCTGACGGCAAGTTCCTTACCCCATCCCAGACCTGACCACGGCTGATACAGGAGGGCATCTGATCCCATATACATGGTTTTCTACTTTTTAAAGTTTTGTCTCAATCCTCAAACACAACACTTTTGTTTCTTTTAGAGTTGTTCAACACAGACCAATGGAAATCAGCTCCCTTATTGGCAACCAAGTACTAGTTTTCACTCCTTGGGTTCACATATGAAAGTGGTCCTATGGAATAAGCACTAGGCTATGTCCTAGGTATATGAAGGTAAAGACACAATGTTTGCCCTTCATAAACCTGGGGTCATCTATTACAATCATCAAAACCTCATTTCTTGGCTAGCTACCCTTTGCCACCAGAGAGCTGAAAAGTCAACAAATCCCAAATGGAGTAAAGGAACTGAACAGTGAACATGGAACAAAGAAATACATTTCCTACTGTCCAGAAAATGCCTGCTGCAAAATGCTGTCCAAACCAATCCCAGAGCCCTGAAAGTCCCACAGATATGCTCACAGTTACGTTTTCACAGATGCTTTCAAAATTGTTATTGATATTGAAGCCTACATTCTCATTGTCACAATATGAGACACACCAGAACATACATACCTCATCACTCCCAGGACTATGTATGGCTTGTCTACAGGTTGATTAAAGCAATTCTAAGGCTAAGGTACTTAACACACCTCTCTTTGCAAGTGTCAAATAACTTGGGAGATACTTTTTCTGGTCCTTTCACAGACTCAAGTCTTTGAGACAGATTCCATCACACAATGAACCTCCTGGGTCTGTTTGTGGCCAGTGGGAGGTATGTAAGACTTCAGGTCATATTGACTCATCAATTTCTAATAAGTTCATAACTAAACCTTTACAAATGAAACACACTTCCCCATTGGTAATACTGCATGCTACCCACATAGAAGAGCATTAGTAATTAGTAGGAAGGAAGAGAGTTTGAACTTGAAGAGGTGATATCCAAGTGAATGGCACACACCTGCCTACTGAGAATAGTTTACCATCATCTCTCTTTCCTAGAACGCCAACCATAAGATCTTAATTGAGAACCAAGGTTGTTTGAGAAGCCATTACAGGCAAACAACATCACAATTCTCTTCTCCGCATGGAATGCATGACTTTTCAGACAGACCCTCCCCCCTTCTACATTACAATGTCATGTCCATGGGTAAGGTTAATATTCTTGTTGATTTGACTTAGAGTTATCTAAGAGACACACTTCTGAGTGCATCTGGAAGAGTGTTTCCAGAGATGATTCTTCAAGGAGGAAGACCCACTCTACATGTGGGGGCGCACCATCCTATGACTTGGATCACAACTAACTAAAATGGGGAAAAGGAGAAAGACATCAAAGCACCAGCATTCCCCAGCAAGTGGCTTTGCATGCCTACTGCCATGCTTTCTCTGCCATGGCAGACTGTTGCTATAGCAACTGTGACACAAAATTAACCCTCCTCCTCTTCAGTCACTTCTTCTCAGGTCTTTGGTCTTGGAGACCAGAAACTGAACTAATACACCATGTCTGGTGAGTACTATTTCTACATGTGAAGAGTTATATTGGATGTCTTTGAGATCTGCATGAGCATAATGACTTTACAGTTCATACATGAGCCATGTTCTTTTCGGCATGAATCATTATTAATATGAATAAAACCAGTAAGGCCAAATTCACTATTGAATAAGACTTGCCAAGCTTCTTGCCATTCCTTCATTTCACCAAAACCAAACAACAATAATATGCTTTTCCCTTGTTTTCATTGGTGTTTTTTTAGGTTTTTCAGAGGTTGGCAACAGATTGCCTGTAGGTGAAATCTGTCAGACCCTCTGTTTTTGCTTTGGTTTTTAATCAGGTTTTATTGGGACACAACTATGCCTCTTCAGTTAGGGATTGCCTACAGCTATTTCTGCCCTGTAGTTTTAGAAACTCATAATTGTGGCAGAGATCATCTAGTGCATCAGGCCTAAAATATTTATTATATAGTTCTCTACAGAAGTGTTTGCTGGCCTCGGGTATAAATGATTACATCATGCACAGCCTGGAATATTTACCCTTTAACCTTATAGTAGAGAACAGAAACTGTGGCCAGCTGCCATATCAGAATTTTAGCAGGCAAAAATGACAGTGATGGAGATCATCATCAGGAGATTCAACCCCTTTGCTTCCCAGTGTTCCCGTTCCAGCTATAGATGCATCTGAACTACAGTTGACCCACATCAACTGCCTTCTGACCACCTGCTCCTGCTGTAAGTGATTTAATGAATGGAACTTTAGTTTTCCATTCTTTCTCTTGGTGCACACTGCTACACCACAGTCTTATAATGTCCACTTTCCCAGTCCTATAGAAATAGTCAGAGACAGTAGGAAACTAGATATGAGACATTGTCTCACAAGCCAAGTGTTTTGAAAGTCTTTCCTTCCCTCGAGGAACTGGTCATCTTTTGCTTTCTGACAATAAACACTTTGTAACTAACCATATTTCCCTTCCCAATATGGCTGCCAGAACATTTAAAACTAAACTTGAAGTTGCGTCCAAGTGGACCTCCATGATTATGAGTTTTTCTTCTTCTGCCCTTGGCGTTTCAATTGACACATTCCCCAGTTTTGATTTCTGTTTCTTATTTATATTCTAACAGCTTCATTATGTGTTTCAGCTGCCATAAATCCTCTTGAACAGACAAGGCCCAGAGCAAATGGCTAAAACAAGTTCCCATGGCAACTTGACACTAAAGTGTTTGACCTACTGTGCTTTGTCTTCAAATCACTCATCAGCTTTGAGAGGAAGAGCCTCACATACCTTGTTCACCTCCACTTTAGCTGCAGAGTCAGGACAATGCCAGACATAGTGTAGATCCGCCATAACTACTTGAGAATTAATGTCACTACATGTTCAACACCTGGAGTGAGCAATTTTAGGGACCTCACCAGGCAGTCCTGAAGGATCTTGGATCTTTAGCTACATGAAAACAGATATACATTCTTTGTGGTGAACTGGGACTGATGGCCCCACCTGAGCAGGGAGTTGTAGAAGATAACAATTAGAGATAGAAATCACCGGCACATTACAAAGAAGTCAGCATCCTACACTTTCTAGCCCGTCCTTTACTGGCACCATGTGCTAAAACCAAGCAAGTTTGTCTAAAGCAATAAAAGTTGAGCCAGTGTGGGTTCCTGGCTATGCAACTGTGGACAGATTGCAAACTTTGCTGCACACTGGAATTAGCTGGGAGGGGACTTGTCCTTATAAGACAGTAGTGCTAGGCCCTTGGCCCAGACATGGTGATTGAATTTGTATGGGAAGTCCCTTAGGCACTGGAATATAGTGACTCTCTTGATGAATTGGATGTTGCAATCAATCAGGACCACTGCAATAATATCTTTGTGCTACATGTCAGTTTTTAGATTTTAGCATAGTATTCTAAGGAATTCCCAGAATAGCCATGAAGGAATCTATGACTTCTCTGTAGCTATAGCAGCTAGAATGTCAGAATGACACACAGCCATGATAAAAAAAAAATGCATACAGGAGGGTGCTGGTCTCCTTTAGCAGATGGGGTAAATTATGGGGCTGGGTGGTATAAAAGTTCCTGCTTAAATTTGCCTGCAGTACACACCTTGGTGCTGAGAGCAGAATCGAGCCCACCCTAGATCTGTTGCAATATCACCTACTG